GCGATTGCGTGGCACTAAGGCGATCACTGAGTCAAATCTCTAAAATGAACCGACTATACATAAAGATATACTTCGATTTGTGACTGTACTCGCATAAGGCAGTATATTCGCTGCAATATGGTTCGTCTACTGCAAGACAGATTCTTATGTTATTTTTCTCGAATCTTATCCACGACATCGAGGCATGTCAGTTTACAACGAGTTGTACCAGAAATCTATAATCCTAACTCCTAAACGAATTCTTTAGAATTCCAATGACGTTGACCTCATTACTTGAAGTTGCTACTTGTGACATCATTCCCTTCTAGCATGTTTATATTATGTATGTCATTTCTGATATAGCAGTAGATCATTCGTTTACTTGTGTCTTAATTCTTGATGAGTCCAAGTGCAATTTTACTTGTTGCTATATATACCCTGTTTTGAATCGATTATATTCTGTTGTTTTGCTGAAACGTGAAGTTTTTAAGCGGTGCCGTTCAAGTAGTTAATTTGCATTTATTCTTTCGTCAAAGAAGCAGTGTTCTACCCATCGGAAAACCGTGATTCTTTCCATTAAATTCATAACGGCGTATCGTCATTGAAGCAACTTAACAACAACGGAAGCGTTCGTAAACTAGATTGCTGGTTGTATAGAAAAAAATTGTACTGTATGTCTCTGTTGGTCATAAACAGGCGCCAACCAAGATGTCATATAAACTTATCGATGGACCCACTGTCTGCTGAAGACAATGACTAGCGATAGCTGGAAGCATGAAACACACCTTAGGAGGGTTGTAGATGGAACATGACGTAGATAACTGCAGTTTTAGCTCTCTGACTTGAACTTTCAGAGGCTGCTTGCTGCCCATGGCCCTAATGGAATAAAAGTAAGGTTGGATAATTTGTTGCCTTCTGTTGTTGTAGTCAACATTTCTTCTGATGCGGTATGCAGTTTGATATAATGGCTCACATGCCGTAAATGGCGCCCTTTGAAATTCGCATGCAGATGGGGTTACGTTTTGACGAACTTATCGTAAGTTGAAAATATGGTAAATCGAATTTATCAATAGCTGCTGTCATTTGATGAATAAACGAATAATTACTGTAGTTAACTAAATATCATTTAATTGAAAAATTAACACTAACTGCTGGAAGATGATGCTTGGGAGTAGGCCATGGCGACAGGGTCATCAATTCGCATTCTCGAGCATAGCTCGTAGAAGACATTAAATCGTCGACAGTTGTTGATGGTTCAACAACAGACGTTTACTTCTTCAGTTTGGACTGGACAGTTTGTTTCTTATTTTCATTATAAATTTGTTCATAGCAAATAAGAGCATCTTGTATTAGTCTTTCAAATTTCATATTATGACTTCGTGTCACCATATGATACTTTGCAAATCGGTATAAGTTGTTTTTGCTCCAGATCGTTACAGAGATTGAGGGTGTATCGCCATCGTAAAGCGAAGAGCATTTATATTCCTGTTTTGCTCTTGCCTCAGAGAAACTGTTCAAAACTCCAGGCGTGTAAACTTCTCAGTTCACTCAGTAATTCGATAGTAAAATTTTGCACAGATTGCAGCTTCGAAAGCAGTTTCGGTGATCATGAAACTGAATGAAAGTAAAACTGGTCACCCCCCTTCATTGCCATGCTACTAGTACCTTCTGTATTCCATCTGTGAGCTTCTTTGTAGATGCCTGAAGTGCATTTGAGGTCGGTTGCCACAATGAGCAAACGTGACGTTACTTTTTTTTATAGGAAGAGCCAGTTCCGTGCTCCTTTCTACTCAACGAAAAAGAGATCGTCGACTCGTTGTCAGACACCATCGATTTGGATAGTGTGAACACCGAAAAGATCTTGGAGATCACCTATCAGCCTCTGGCGTTGTTCAGGGTTCAGGCCGTCACTCGGTGCTCGAGCTCCCTACCGGGCCATGCAGAACCTGTCATATCTGCGCAGTTCAGTCCAGATAGCAAGTACGGCATTTCAGCTAATTTTTTTTGAAGAATCCATTGCTGTATTCATGTTTTGCAGTTGAGCGGTACGTCTGAACATGATAAATATTCTTATGCTAATATGGATTTATTTATATGCGTATATGGGTTTGTATGTTATTATGTATATGTATGTACACATGTATGTACATTATGTGTGCGTATGCATACTTACATACGCGCATGTTTATGTATATATTTTATTGCTTGAGTATGTGAAACAGTAGAATCTCCTTTTGTGAAATAATCAGCTGCTTGTTTCTTTTCTTTTGAGCAGGAGAGGGGGCTTATTTAAAGGACAGAACTTGGAACCGAAACGAACTCGCACGAACCAGCGATACTATAAAACGGTTGAGTCTGACATTGGAGAGATAGGTAACTTTTGATGTAGGTGCTTGGCATCTAACCATGTTACATAAAAGCGTCGTTCTCAGTTTTTGAGCCGTGCTGAAGACTGTATTTTCTGGTGTTTTTCGTTTTACCAAATTCGGTGTTTAGGCACTTGGCAAGTGGTTCCGGCGACACGACGGTTCGACTTTGGGACCTGAACACAGAAACACCCGAGTTCACGTGCAAAGGTATGCTCACCCTTCTTCGAACGCAGATCATTTCGCTGACCAACTTCCATATGTTTAGGACATCATAACTGGGTGCTTTGCATATGTTGGTCTCCGGACAGCCAGAAGTTGGCGTCCGCTTGCAAAAATGGTCATGTCATCATCTGGGACCCACTAAAGGGTACTCAGATCGGCAGAGTTCTGACAGGCCATAAAAGCTGGATCACGTGTTTGGCGTGGCAGCCACTTCATTGGTAATATACTAATCATCTGTCTTCTTTAATTTTTCTTCAGTTTGGTGCGATTGGTGGTAGGGAACAAAGTTTTTGTGTAGATGTCGAGAATGTATTTATGATCTTTTACGCCTCGTTGACACTTTCATTCTGAATGCCAGTTGTTTAGAACTTGTTTGTACTTTGAATCCTCCAATCAGAAATGCATTGCATATGAATGTGTATCTACGTATACGTGGTAGCTTATAGCATTCTGCTTCCTTATTACGTAAGATGAAAGTACTGCTCGAAACAGGCTTGAGGCTTCGCGCATCTGATGCCACAAGGAAAAAAAAGTAAACTATAGCCGTTGAACTCTTGGTCTGCCTTACACTTTCATGATAGGTCCGTTTCTGGCGCTCTTTTTATTGAAGTTAATAGCAAAGTGCTGAGCTCCATTTCCATGCAGATGGACAAGTGGCATTTTAGCAGGCATTGTATATAGCGTCCTGTTTCCTTCCCACAAAGTGGTACTCGTTTATGAACCGCAGAAGGAGGAGGCAAGTGATCTCAATCAGGACTCGAACCCAGAACTTCTCGTTTCTAAGCCTGACGCTTCCGACTGAGCGACTCCCTGTGCCAAATCTATTGTTTTTATGCCAAAACGACTGAAATCTGGCATTCTGCTGCATGCACCACTAAAAAGTACACCCTTAAACGGCTTATCGAAATGAGCATTCAGTTAGTAACATAGCCATGCATGCATATCTACGCTTAACATCAATATTGAAAGCAAGTGATCTGGTGTGATCTTGTGAGTTGACCGTCCTTCAAGTTTCAGTTTGGAAGAAAACCGACTATGCACAGGATCTCAGGACTGGTCATGAATGGATTTTTCTGGAATGTTTTATATCATTAGCTGCATTTAAAGCCTAACGTGAGGTAGCTACTTCGTCTACCGCGTTGATGAGCTACATGAACTACTGCTGGAGGCCACGTAACTCAGACGGTAGAGCATCAGGTACAGTCCAGAGGTTTTCTACTCAGCCTAGTGAGATTAACTCGTGATGCTATTACTAACTTACCTAGACTTAAGCCTTCGTGATTTTGCTGGAAATATACAGATGACATCGCAGCTGTTAGAAATCGTTCTTCCTTACCTTCCATGGTAGGCGCAGTTTGCAGCACGTTTCTTTTCATTGAGCTTGTGGTGCGTTGCTGATTTGTGTTTTTACGCCGTCATTCGAAAGCCATTTATGCAGCAATATTGCAAGTAATGCGAGTGGTTTCATGTTTTTTGTCTTATGAAGGGGTGTTCATGTGTCTACTCTGAAATGATTGACGGGAGTTACTTCACCGGACCTTTAACCTGCATTCTGTGAACCATGAGTTCCACGCGCTACTGATTGAGTCACTTCGTTACGATGTCAGAAGGAATACGTTCACCTCACGCTTGTCAACGATCAATGTTAAATGCGTGTTTGCCAATGGTCAACCAAAATTCATGCGCTACTACAGGCAGTTCAATCTTCTACTCGCACTCGGCATACCAAGTTAGTCTTTTTAAGGCAAACTATGACAGTAGTCAGATTACACTTAACAATGTTCGAGAAGAAATTCAACACTCGCCGTTTGAAAATCCATAGATTGCAACTCATAATAAAAGAGAGGATGGTGGCTACGTTGAAACCAACACTCCTACAACTTTCTTTTATTGAATCATTCATTATTTGTACGATGTTCATTATGTTTCTTGTCTTGTCACTAATTTAGTTGGATGCTTGCCTTGCCCTTCAGAAACCTTCAAGTAAAAAATCTTGCATAGTATCTGAGCGGTTTTAGCAGTGCTTTTTTGTAACGCTGGCTTGTTTCTTATGCTGTGTCTATTCATGTTTAATTATAGTGCGACTGAAGTCCGGCTTTTGGCCAGCTCTTCGAAAGACTGCGATATTCGCATTTGGGACATAGTGCTTGGACGGACAGTACGAGTCCTTGCCGGCCACTCAGCGTGCGTAACTTGTATCAAGTGGAGCGGTGAGGACTTAATATTTTCGTCGTCCGAAGACCGCACGATCAAAGTGTGGCGCGCAGATGACGTAAGAAGACATGAAACGTTTGAATTCGACGAAGCGCTTGACAAACCTTTATAAGAAATCCTTAGAATACCTTACTTTTTGTCATTATCATCTCGATGCAGGCTGTTTGAAACTGATTATATCAGTTTCTTTCTACATTTTTACATCATCCTCAGTAGAAACTTTTTTCGATCCATTGCTGGATGAAGGTCTCTCCAAGACTTTGCCATTTACTTCTGTTTTCTGACATTTTATCCAGTTTGACGCAATGAACTTCATGGCTCATCTTGCCATTGGTCTGGAGTTTTTCCTACAAGTCGTTTACTCTCTCGAGGAATCCATTGTAGTGTCTCTCTGGTCCAGCGATGGTCAGTCATATCCTCCTGGTTACTACTGTAAGTTCACCCGTGCTGTGACATCGCAGACTTCTGCTTATGTCCTTACCAATTTTTTCGTATTCCTCTCTTCTGGTTATTCCCAGCAAACACCATTCCATGTTTTGTCTGCAACTTATAAAAATTGCCTTCTCGCTTATGGTCCACATTTTGCGGTCATAGTTTAGCACTGTTAGCAGATATTGATGGGAAGCTTTCCATTTTAAGCACAAAGGCAGCTTTCTGGATAGAAACATTTTTAGTGTTCCTTAAGTGCTCTATGCCAAGTTTTTCTTTTGCTCATCTCCAATATCTCAGTTATGGAGATGAGCTGTCCCGGATAGACGTAGTTTGGAACTTCCTCGGGCCTTCTGTTGACCTCAACAGGTCGGACGGTAACGTATCTGTTTCATGACCAGGATCTTTTTCAGGTTCATTTTCAGTCCTGCATTGATGCTAGCCTACTTCAGCTCTTGGATTCTTATTTTGAATTTGTCTGGTGTTTATAATGAGAATCAGAATGTCGTCCACAAACCACAGTAGTGCTCAGATTTTCCGAACGGAGTGTCTTGAAACATTTTTACGGCTGCTGTGAATAGTATCAGTGTTCAGTGTTGTTTCTTCTCCCTGTTGTACCACATTTTCGATTTTGAACAGCGTGAAGCTTCACATTAGTAGCTGCATTCTTCTAAATCATGGTGATGAGGTTTCTGCATCTTTTTATCAATTCTCTGACTCCTCACGGATTCCGGTACAGTACCTCCTCTGAACTGAAAGCCTTCTTGAAATCGATGAACCTTTCCATGGTTAAAAATTGTTTTATTCGCTATGACTGTGACATTTGCATAAAAAATGAAATATTGACATGAAGAGGCCCAACGTAATCAATATTTATCAAGTTCTAAATTTTTCCAAGAGTTGATTGCGCTTTTTCACAAGATCCACCAGTGTCCTTTTCAAAAATGGAACTGTCGGGTGTTTTTTAAAGGCTGTTCGAATGCGTATGCACACGAAGGTAGAAAGCGTGCTTGATGTTTAGAATCGTCACTTTGACATAACAGCATGTTGCAAGCAGAATTTGAAGTTACGAATTGTCTTGACCAGACATATCAAGGATGCTATAGTTGCGTCCACCAAAAATATTACCAATAGTTTAAAGTAAATGTTGCTTTGAAAAAGTAGAAACTTGAGATATTTTTGGAGCTGTACGAATTCCTTCTGAAGAAGGCTTGGAAAAACACGGATGCAACATCAGAAATCAGAAGGGCATGACCCAAGTCTTTATGAAGAGATTTATCAATGGTTTTGATGCCGAAAGGTTTTGAAGCCGCCATACATTATTGGTGATATGCTTCTGATTAATCGGCGTGTTCTTCCCTTCTGCGGGCTTGCTTCATGTAGATCTCCTTATGTGATATTTTCTTGCCTCGATCCGGCTTTATGCCAATGCTTCCTTACTGACCATTTCTCTGTTGATCAAAAATCTCCTGGTTATCGTAGTAAACACCTGGCAGCAGTGTTCCTCGCCTCAACCATCTGGTCAGGTATTTCAATTGCTACCCTCCTTTTCTGTATATTGGACGAGAGGTTAGACGCATTCTGCAGTAGATGGTTTATTTTGACATTTCTGCTTGGATAATTTAGTGAATATAGGATTTTTTTTCACTTCAAACCTATACACACTACTTCGACATGTCGAACTTCCATCCGAGATGTGCCATTTTTCCGGATTCGCCTGACGCAGTCCATCATCCTCTTGCTTATAGTGGCCTGTGGAATTATTGAGTCACCATTATGTGGGTGTGTATAGATCCAAAACCGGGTCACTCTACTTAATCAAACAAAAATAATATCGAATGCTACCTAATATACCTCAGTTTCTCCGTATGAACAGCTACACTCAATTAGACGTATTTAAAGTGCCAGCCTTAGCCAAGTTTATTATTTTCTGTCGTTGTCAATTTCTTAATTAATACAGGGAACTTTGTGCAGAACATTGGAAGGCCATGGCCATTGGGTGAACACAATGTCCCTCAATACGGACTATGTGCTGAAAACTGGTGGCTTCGATCCTCTGCATCAACCTTATCCGGAAGATGGTAAATTCAGGTTCCTGAAATTACGTTTTTACCTCTGTTTTCTTTAGTCAATGAACTACGAGAGGTAGCACTGAGGAGGTATCAGGAAGTGAAGGTATCTAATGGCATTTCATAGTATAAAAGTGATCACCGAATCTTTGGTTCAGCGAGCGGACCCCGAAAGACTGGTCTCCGGTTCCGATGATTTCACGCTCTGCCTTTGGCAACCGTCGATCAACAAAAAGCCGATTCAGCGAATGACGGGCCATCAGCAGCTAATCAATCATGTCCAGTTTAGCCCGGATGGCCGAATAATCGCTTCAGCATCGTTCGACAAGTCCGTGAAGCTCTGGTGTGGCAAAACCGGAAAGTAACTTTGTATTTTTTATTTTCTCAAGATTGTCCTATTGATTGCCTTTGCTTGCAATTGCAGATTCATCACAACACTCAGGGGACACGTACAAGCCGTTTATCAGATATCGTGGTCGTCGGACAGTCGTCTTTTGGTGAGCGGATCTGCAGATTCTACTTTGAAACTGTGGGATATGAGAACTAAGAAGTTAGCCATCGATCTGCCGGGCCATGCTGATGAGGTGAGTTGAACAGTACTGAAAAAATTAAATACAAGGAATTTGAAACTAACGTAATTAACATGCCAAACTTTAATCTGGCTTCTAGTTATCATGTCCACTTTCTAATCGTTAACCTTAGCGACTGATGGCTGGCTTCGCCGCAGTAAGTTGCTTGAAGGAATTGTTCCCTTGTCTGCCCTCAGACATTTATTTTTCTTTCTGAAATCTCTTCACGAACTGAGCCATAAAGATATTGATTCGACAAGTTGGTTAATCCTCTGAACGCATAAATAAAGGAGATATTATGGTTTCCCTCTGATCTAAATTGTTCAGCTGTATGTTCAAGACTTGATCATATATCCCGTCGACCTTCTTACTTAGACGATGACTTTTAAGACTATTTCGTGAACCGTTATGACCTCAATGTTCTACATTGGGCAGCTATAGGTAATGAATCATGCTTTTCTTCTATCATGCCTTTTGTTCCGCTAGGCTGCATGTGAAATCCACAGAGGGCATTCATAGTATTTCAATTTCGTTTCGAATGTTCTGTGTTCGGAGTTGCTACGGAGAATAGGCATGTTTCACAGTCGTGAACATATCTTGATTTTCCCAACACTATTACCAATCAGTTCGTAACTGCGACGTCGAGCTTCTTCCGGGAAAGTTCATCATGCTAATTTGACATTCCGCTTTTTAGTTTTTCTTCACTTGAAGTTTTCTGATGGTGCTGCTAATTTCGGTTTTCCTGGGTACGCTGATTTTACCGCATTATTCAGGTTCCTCTTCTGCTGAACATTCGAACGCGTTCCTTGATAAACCGCGCAAAGGTGTTTGTTACGGAATGAACCATGTATATGTACTGGTTTAGTACTCTTTGTGTGATGTTTTCGCTATTGCCAGACCACCATTTTTGTCTATCAAGAAAAATGATCTATGATCTGTCCATCATTGTCTCTACGGCCATTGAGATGAGCAAGCTGTCTTACAATATCAATTTAGTGTCTGAAGAAAGGCTCGTTTTCAGAGAGCTGTTGACCAGATGTTCACCATGTTTTTTCCATCGCTGTTGGCGTGGTTGGGATCTCGTCAAAAACGATTCCTATGTGTCGGTTTGTAACAACTTTGATTTTGTCGTTTTCTCACCTTAAAATTAGTACCGCTTCTCGCGAAGGTAAATTTCGACTTTTTAGAGTTCGTAGTGAACGACATGTCGTTTAGGACGAGTGTCCTGCATCAGTGATACACAAAATTGGAATAGTTGCTTAGGTTTTATGCGTAAAACTCTGTGATGCATGTAAGCCTTGATATTAATAGCAACAGGTATATAAAACTAAGATGAAGTTTCAAGACTAGTAAATCGTTGGTGATTGAAGAAGTAAGTCAAACACAAGAGAGTCCATTGAAAACCCTAAAGCTGATATTTGGTATTTACTCGTCATCGCGGTGGTCTGTCAACGCTGTGGCAGAACAGATTTTTTCAAATCGCAGGCAGCCAAAACAGGACTTGTAATGGCTGCATTGTCTTCTTCGACATTTTGGCACCGTTGGGATTAATTAATTGCCTCATTAACAAGGGATACATAATGAACTGCTATCCTGGACAAGTCGCAACTGACTTAACGCAGTTGTATAATTATTTATATAATACATATTTGTGATACTTATAATGTATAATTATTTCGACTCCCTGTTGATGACACGGGTCTGTGATACCCACCCGCTAGAAGCTTATGTATCTCTTCCATAGAGATCCGGCTTGTTGTCTCTCGTACTGCTAACCACAGAATTTGGTGCCGTGGCACAGTGGAAAAGAGGTCGGCGTAGACCAGGACAAAGGGCGATGTTTGTCTTAACTCCGAATGCCCTTAAGCAGGGAATTCCTTCACGTAGTTTCGGTGCAATCAGCCATGAATCTAAGGGTCAAATATCATAAATCTGGGTTACCTTGCTTATTGAGCTGTTAGCTGTACATGACGATGACAGCCGGGAAAGGGGTAACAAGTCGTTGAGTTGTTGCGGGAAACAGGGACATCATCATATTCTCGTGTGATCAGAACAGAACGGGTGAAAGATACACCCATGCTGTCTGATATGAGCGGCTCATAGGACTGCAGTTAATCTTTAGTGAATCCCTGATAGCATCTTATTCAGTGTGACAATCAGCGGAAAGTGTAACCTCAGTTGTTGTTGTTTGAATCAAAACAGGTGTCTGCTTTGTATGATCTTGTGTAATACCGTAGTTAGTTTCTTATTTAATTCATGGATAATTTCTGGTCGATACTTTATATTTATAGGTGTATTCCTGTTCTGCTTTTGACACTTTTTCTGTTGTAGCTTTGGCAATAATCTGTTGTTGTAGTTTTGTACATACTACTGAAATTTGTCGCTTAAGGTCTATACGGTCGATTGGTCGCCGGATGGTGAAAAGGTCGTGAGTGGTGGTAAGGACAAACTGTTGAAACTGTAAGTTGCAAGCACGAGTTCTCTATATTCGTATTTACGTTTAATTTTAGGTGGCGGAAGTAAATGTGAGAAAAAGATTCAGTTCGTTCTAAGACAGCTGTTGCATGGTTTTGTGCAAAACATCGAATGCACCAATCGGATTTTATCTACACGAAAAAAGAAACAAATACAACATTATGATAACATGTCTAACCGCGATCTTTGAGCGTGCCTGTCGTTTTTTGTTCTATACGAATAAAGCTGAAACGAATATAATTAGCACTCGATCAATCCATGAATACAATTATGCACTGAACTTACGTCATCTGACTGCATCTGCGACCTGACCGTCCATAAGTGGCTGTTCGAAGGCCAATAGTTGTCGAATGTCGAATCACCGCCTTTCCGGGACGCGTTGTATTCGTTTATCGACCTTACCGAGTGTTGATGCTCTTTCCTACGACTTCTGTGCAATCCAGTCAAACACCGTTACTCATTGCTTATCACAAATGTGCACTTACTTCCTCTTCAGCCAAAACATCACTAACACTGTCAGCAGCACCAACCATATTGCTCCAAGAATGAACGGCAATACGATTGGCAGTACTAAGTACATAACCGATAAAGAACCGTTAAAAGTAGCAGTGCAATAAATAGTTATTATGGCATACATCGATAGAGAGGAAGTCCAGGAAAAGCCGTTGTAGTAGGTGAAAAGCAGAAAGAGCCATCAAGATTGTTACTACCTGGATGGCATGAGTTGGGTGTCACTGCACCAAGTGTTTAATGTCATACTTACGGTAGCTCACTGCTGCTTCCGGCAATCCAAAAACAGCAAAAAGAGGTAGATTTGATTCTGGATAAGAATAGGGAAAACTGTTTTTCTACGATTTTTAGGGCAAAAATCTTCAAGTCGGCGTGAAAATGAACCTAGCAGACGTTGTTCGTGCTATAAGGGCAGTTAAGAGATTTCGCCTCAATCAGAAGGTCTCGGAGATACTCCTGTTATGACAAAATTTTTGTTTTTCGTAAGAGCATAGAGCAATACTAACGATTTCAGTAATCGATCACGATGCCAAATTTGTAAAATAGTCCAACGATGTAGAAAATATTAGCATAGCGTCATCTTCATTTTGGAAGAATGTGTGAAGAACCATGTGTGTCAGTAAAGATGTAAGACGTATGTCCACGTACCATGTTGGCTTGCCACTGTAGAGATAATATTCTTTTTGCTGCAAACACGAGAGGAGACTTCGATGTGACGTACCACCGCAAACTGACCTCATTTTGTACTCTGACTGGTTGTGAAGAATCGAACCAATGCCCCACGTTAGCGTATATATCAAGAAGTTGAAGCGTTGAGAAGGTCGACCAGTTTAAGACGTACTTGGGCTATGACAGCCAAGAACTACAGTTCAATAAGAAGGGTGCCGTCGTCTTGTGCTATTTCTTAGGTCGCTGCTGCTATGCGGCGGAAAGCCAATTATTCTTGACTAAGACAGCGCTATCAAACATAGAGGAGAGCAAATTTCAACTCAAATTGAAGTTTAAGTGGCAGAACCATGCAGGCGTGGGTATAATGTCTCCTTCTGGTAGAATCTGTGATCAAGATAGGGAGGCAAAGCTTTGTTTATTACACTAGCTGTACATAAGCCCTTTACTTGATCTGAACCGTTGGCTGATCAACCACTGTCGACGAGCAACATTGAGACTCACAGCCGTTGGTGATGGACTATTCTGTCTGTAAAGCTGTTACTGCTGAACTGAAACTCAAGAGAATGGAAAAATTAACGAACATTTCAAGGCAGCGAAGTTCAGATAATGCAGTGATGATCACTATTGCATATTGGTGTTGAAGAGCCGAAATTTTTCCTTCAAAATTATTTTTTTAAAATCATTTAAATTTAATTGATGGCTTTCTAGAGATTAGCTCATTTTAATCGATATTCGCGATAACTCACATGAAACAGAAAGGCCTTAGGGTGCTAAACTTTAATTGTCCCCAGTGAAACACTTTACCGTTCCTATCGTTCGTAGATAATCAAGTCGGGGTAATGCGTAGACATGTACAATCAGGATTCGAAGCGACATGGCTGCAAAGTGTTCCGTTGCTAAACCCCCTCATCGTCATACATCAACCGTTACAAAATGACGTTCGACCATTCCTCTCTGGCAAAGTTATCCGTAGCCGCAGCTTAGCACCTGGATTTCACGAGTTAGCTATAACCGAACCTCATGTTGTAGACAGTAATGTAATGTCATGTAATACGTCATGTCTGACAATCCAGGAACAGAATGAAAGGGTGAATCCGGCGTTATATGGTTTTCGTTATATTACATTACAATCGTCAGGAATGGAGCTGTGAAATATGAAATGCTGCAGAATTTTCGAGTACAAAACCCTTTCAAGAAAGGAGCAGCGAGTGGCTGGTTCTGGTGCTATTACAGACAGAGGTTGTTCAGTCGGTAGGGGGTCAGCTCAGAAGCGATAGGACCCGAGTTCAAGTCACGATCGGGGACAGTCCTTCTTCTTTCTTTTGAGGTGGATGAACGAGTATCATTCCGTGAGAAGGAAACAAGAGACTATAGGCTACGCTTGTCCCATGGGTACAGATCCTGCGTTAAAAAATAAGGTTCTTCTGGATAATAGCACAGAAACGGAAATCAGCACGCACAATCATATGCAAAGAAGGGGGCCAAAATGGTCCAACCATGAAAATGGAAAAAGACTGTCATTTCAACGATGAACAACTTTTTTTCTGTTTCTTTATATCGATACTGTCTATTAAAAAGGATCCTTCGCATAACATACGCTGGGTCATGACTTTTCGGTGAACGTCTTGTCATGGCTCATGTTGCAAAACGCAGAACAGACAAAACAATCAGACAAACTGCGTCATTAGGTCCCTCGGTCGCCGACGCTGGCATATGTTCATACATAGAGAAAGAGAAACAGTTAGTTCGCTAGTTATTCCTCCTTTTGGAATGAAGCACTTCTCACGACAAATCTTTGGGCTATGGGTGGGGGAACAAACCTTCAATAGAATTAACTGACAACTGTTGCAAGACGTTACTATTACATGTTCAAAGGAAGGACCTGGGGTCATGCTATCCCATTTCTCAAATACGGCGTCGCGCCTTTCACCTGATAAACAGCCTCGATGGACCGGTAAAGCTAGTTATTATTGAGCAAACCATCAGTATACTGCATAACAATTTTTGTTCCTGACTCTGGGGGACTTACTTTTCTCTTCTAGCAATATTTCTGCATTTTTTGGTTCTTCTGAGACGTTGCGCGGGACGAACAGTTTTCTTCTTTGTGGCATGACATTAGTCAAAGGTGGAAGCGCTGATTTTACTTCTGTGGAGGGACCTCCGGTTGATTGCACTGCAATTGACTCAGGATGCTCAGCCATCTCTGCTTCAACATTCGCCATATTTCGAAAAGACCACGAAAGACGATTGGTGATGGTCTGCACTTCCGGCCCTTTTCGCTTGTTTTCCTTCGGCAATTGTCTGACGTCGGATTTCGGCACGCTGGTTTCTTTTGTGGCCATGTTGTTCAGGCGGTCGTCAGACACGGCTGGAACTACAGCAAAGAATAACTGTATAATAGCAATATTAAGTACAATCGCATAATCTATATTACCGGAAGAAATACATAGTACATTATTCTGCGTTTCATATCGTTTCACATAAATCTTTCGGTTTTATTTCTCAGAAATGTTTTATTTATTAAAGTTTGTAGAGGGTCAGTTTTTCCAATGCCTAATTTAGTCGAGGTATTTCATGATTTGTTAATCCTTTGCTTTCAGACAGCAGCGAATGAGTACAAGCAACAGCTTGTTAAAAGTGTCAGATGCTTCGGTCCCGAGATTACACGGTCACAGACGTGACTGATGGCCCGTCAAGAGGTTAACGGAGTGGTTCACAGTTCTAACATACTATTGAAGACGTAGGGTAACCAAAAATTGAAAACAAAGGAGGCACAGACCGCAGTTTAAAGATTAACGCGAATGTTGTTGTGCGTTTCTTATTCTGTGACATAAGAGGTGATTTTGCTTTGCACTTAGAACACACACTGCGGCTGATATGTCTGATATGGTCGGTTGATCAGCGGCGAAAACAACGGTTTCCATCTCGTGGTTTATACTCTGTTTTCAATATAATTTGTCAAGGGCGTAGTACTACCGAAATGGCACGTAATCACAATTTCTTTTTCATAGTAAGAAGCAGATAGTTACAACCGATTTATTGAACTGTTAAACTCTGTAAATTTATAAAGGATTAAAAATTTCTATACCAAGATTTATAAACCAGAACTGTATGTATATCTTATGTTCTCTCTAAAACTAACCTAATGAGCTAGCTTATGTCCTTGAGAAGAAATTAATCACAACAGAGGACCATATTTTCATCATATTTAGTGTGAGAGGAGGCAACAAGCGCTTTTATGTTTAATATTTGCTTAACTATTTACTTGCTCATGCAAAGAACTGTCTCAGTTTTCGGCAGTTCGCTAAACGGAAAAAAACAAATACAATCAATGAACGCGTTAATAAGCACAAGGGTTCAACCAGGTGCTATTCGGTCAGGAGAAAAGCGACCGAAGACTTGCTTCAACCGGCAACGAGTTGGATCCGGTACGTTTCGGTTCGAGTGAGGATGAAGATTTAGTCAGATTCAACGTCTCGCCTTCTTGAATGACTACGTTCTAAGATATCGCATAACGAATGAGCAGGATTTGAGAGAATTTTCCATTCAAGCGTTTCTGTTACCACTACGACCTGTTCTACTATTTTCATCACTAGTTTTTTCATGTCTATCCCACTGCTTCAGGAAATTCCCTTGATGGAGCAGCGCAATAGGACGATATCGTTCACGTGAAGTGTTGGGAAAACATCGGACCATTAAAAATTATTATTGGTAATAAGTGAAGAAAAATTTTTGCACAACTTTGCGAGTGTTCGAGACATGCCGAAACCTACGTAGAAAACACTACAGTTTATGGATATTCCCGAGTACCCTTTTTACACACCAATAACAGTATAGGCTATTGCCTGTGTAGCAACTGTGAGTCCACTGTAGCTGTGTGTTGAGCAGCCAGGGTTAATAAAGGATGATTTATGAATAACCTGAAAAAGATTAACTCCATTCACTGAGATGGACTAGAAACCAGTTATGAAATGCTGACAAATGCAGTATCTCCTTAATTGTAAGAACATAAGCTCGCTGGTCGTTTATGGACGAGATCGGGCATATGGCCACAGTGTCCAGGTGGATGGTTTCGTGGGCGAAGACTGTGAATACTAAACCTGAAAAATTCCGGTGATCTTGCTATGAATAGCTGATTTTTCTTTATCCACTGCACTAAGCCGTGTTCTATGGGAGAAATATTTATATAACAATCACAGCATGAAAGGATTAAGCACAAAACAGAAGAGTTATGTTAGTAGGTCTGCTGCTGGAATGTAGGTGGATGTATGCCCGTAGTCGAGCAGAAGGCAGCGTTCGAAACAACCAATTCGATCGAGCTTCCTGCCCACAAGGTGAAAAAAGGAGGCGAGAGCGTTCAAAGTACAACAAATATTTTTGTAACCGAATTGTTAGGGATATTCTTCGACAGATGTGGTATTCGTGACGAATGTAGCAGCAATATTTTTACTGCTTTAAATAATGTGGATGAGACTGCGACGGTACGGAAGTCTCTGGATATTGAATTTTGGGAATGGCCATCATTCTGTATAGTCTCCATATGTCCGGGTAAAGCCGTCTCGTAGGCTGCGGTTAAACACAGACGCAAATATGAAACATAGTTCAGGACCAGTGGCGAGATATGCTTTTAGATGAGAAAAGCATTGTCAAACAAGATCGGCAGTGAAAACAGGAACTAAGACCATATTCATCTCTGGTGGAACGCAGATTTTAAACGAACGGACGGTCTGCATGTTCGTTTCCCAGGAAAACGTTATTGAAAGCTTCATGGTCAAACAATGCAGTAGTTCTTATGCGTCCAAACTCTATTAAGATCTTATACTGGCCCACACTTTCGTAGGATGTAATAAACGCAAGAACTGTTGAGAATGCAAAAGATTCAGCCGATAGATCTGACATTTGACCAAACTTTCAATCGATTTACAATCAGAATAATTGCCCTTGCAGAGCGTTCGTTCTTTTTTCAGCGAAACCAATGAGACATCGGTTCGCCAACTATTTCCTGGTGACAAGAGTCATTTGTCTCAGGTGGCAGCTATCAAAATATAGTTGAGATAGGATGACAGAATGGATAGTTGCTTCGTAATGCCAAAATCTGACAATCAATTGACGAAAAAGTGGCGCACATCTCACTGATGTTACAAGTGTTGAGCATTTTCTTACAGTGAATCTGAAAGGTTAAATCGCGTTTTCTAGATTTTAAGTATGTACATGGAAGTACAGTAATAATGGAGTCGACTGAAATTCCAATAAGCAAGAAATATCTGGCCAAAGGGCAAGTTGAAGCATTTATTAAGGTGAGGTCATGAGTTGCATCATCACATGTGTTGAAGATGACAACGCTGCATGACCGAGAGTGTATAGTCGAGAGATGTCCTTAAAACTGAAACTGCTGCAAATAATAACCAACATTTCGCTGTGAAGAGAAATTAAAACTCCATCCAGGTCGTTTGACAACGCTTGAACGGATGAGAAGTTCGATACGACCGCTTTGAACGAAGCAAAATGTAAAGTCAGACATAACAACACGATGTCCTCGAGCTCATCTTCGTATACTTCTTAAGAACTTTTTTGTCGGAAGACCGTCTGTTCTTAATTACAGTGACTACACCTCCACCACGACTTCTATGGCTATTGGATCTATCGTGGCGAAAAGTAGTGAAGCCCGTCAGAAAGAAACCAAGGTTTTTGTAACAGTAACGTGCGGGCGTTTTCGAATAGCACGCAGTCCATCAGCGATGTCGCTTCATTAACTTTACGTAAATCTGAACAGCAGTTGGCTGATAGAACAAAAATAACTGTCATTTCGGTGGTGGAGTGACCTCTGAGCGCCACTTGGGTGCAATACGAGATGATCCTGAGCACGAGAGATTCAGCTGCATGAAAATCTACTCACCTTGCTACAACAGCATGTCGCGCAAGAAAATTTTCGGTGAGAAATAAAGAATAAATTTGGAGTATAAGATGACAGATATTATTGATTCAGTTTTGAGGTTCCAATGGAAAAATCACAAATTGAAAATATACCATGGATCGATGCCGAACAAAGTCCAGTAAGGGAATGTAGCCAATGAAATTGTTTAAAATAGTGCAACTCATATCAGAATATTACATACATACTTATATCAGTTTGTTCGGATTTCTGACTTAGGAAACTCATGGAAACCGCCATGTCTAACATCCATGACATACGCTGCCGAATTAATGAATGTAGTGTCTCCGCCAACTCTTAATCCGGTTTAACATTAAAAAGTTAATGGCAACCAGGTCTGTCTGTCTATCTGGAATGTTTATTGTGTCTGGAACTATGTTTCTTGTGATCAATCACCAAATCATATTTTGCTGGAATCGAAATCGTTCTAGCTATTAATTGTGATTGCTTTTTCGACCGAAGTCTAGCCTGAAGCGGATACTGAACGTTTCGGCAGGCATAGTTCGGCTAAACGACCTCCTCATAATTAAACAGCAGAAATACTTATTAGGAAGAACAAATTTCAGGAGATTGTGTTCTACTATTCACTTTCACTCCTTTAAAACCTGTCTATCGCTCCTACAGTAAGTAGCGTTTGAAGATCTGATGCATTTGACTTCTACTGTGTGATCGTCAAGTAACATTCAAATTTAAATTGTAAAATTTCGCAGATTTACTTGTCGATGCATTCAGTTATATTTCAAAGCGTACTGATTTACAAATTTCAAAGCCGATAGGGCACGTCTGTTTTCCGCTCTGTCACAAGCTAGAAAACATGATAATACGGCAATGCATTTCGTATGAATGAAAGAAACGAAATAGATCTAGAGAGTTAAGAAATGCTTGAGAAGTGGTATGAATAAATAACCAGAAAAGTTAACTGAAAGTGAATGCAATACGTGCGTCTTGTAGCCTTGTAGACACGAAGTGTACACTTTACAGTATAGTCTTGAAATAAAAAAATAGAATAACAGTAGATTGCATTAGCGTATGAAATTCGTCTAAAATTTTAGGGCACGATATACAAAAATGAGGCCTAATCTAACGTTCCAGTTTCGCATGGAATATATAAATATATACTTCAGAGTACAAGACGACCGAGCTTGGTCCGAAACGTCAGATGTCCCTAATTAAAGAACATTTTATGCTTTGTCTTCCCGTTTGTGACTTACCAAAAGATTATATCATCTCCCGCATAAAGAGATCATGTATGTTTTCTATATATACACGCAAATGGAGTAAATCACTTTCTACGGAATAAGCCGTGACAGTTTCTTACTTGGAATGCATGTGAAGCCATCACCAACAAATCCATCGTCACACAAACACTCGGGCCTGGCGTTTTTGTACCTGGCAGTATGGCAACTCGCATTTTGACCGCATATTAGCCTCGACGCGACGTAGCAAGCGTTTAGCTCTTAATGTCATTTCTTTTACCGAGGTTTGACAAAAACATCGTGCCTACCGAAACAATGGAATCCGTCGCCTGTCCATCCGTCTTTACACGAGCAGAAAAACGAACCCTTCGTATTGATGCAAAACGCCTGCTTGTGACATGGATATCTCGCATTCTCACACTCGTTGACATCTAAAGACCAAATAAAAACTGTTAAATTCACCAATGACCAATGATGACAATACGAATCATGCAACACCGCAAGCCAGACTTTTGTTCTCGGACGAGTCGGTAAGAAATGTTACCAACATGCGGATTAGATTTCTGTCTGCTTCATAAATCTGGAAAAATTCACTACTGAGTAAACCCTTTGGAGCCGTGTAGAGAACAGCAGGAATGTAGGATGGATGCCTAACAGCTAGGGGATCATCAAACTTTAGCATGAATCCTCAGACACCTACGTCCGAATAAATTTCAGTAAAACAAATCCTTTCAAAATGTGAGTTGATCTGTGACAAAAGTATATGCCATCTTCACTCCTAGACGTAATTTTTAGGGATTTTATTAATAGATGCATTCTAGAAACGAAAACATAAACCTTGCATACCTTTTATCAAGTCACTTGTTATTTTAATATAATCTTGTAATGCGCGCTTCGCTGTGAGTTACATGCGAAGATACCGGCGTAAAAATCAATATGACAATACGAGGTATCTGTTATTTAGAAACGTCACAACTATGCTCTCTACACACATTGAGTGCAGCGAAGGCAGGTGAACAAATTCGCATTTTAGGGTAGCATTCGAGATATACTGTAGGCAAGACGTCTGAACGAATAGCATGCATCGGCCTTGTGAGTACTGTAATGCATAAGCTATACCGTTTCTGAAAATGATGAAGGAACAGGGCCGCAATGCAAAACTATTAATCTCTGAGGCTTGTATATGCACCTGTCCGATGGTTGTGAACCTTCCCTTTGCCAATTGTTGTGTTTATTGCACACCAATCGAAATAGCGGATTCAGAATAGAAACGACTGAAATTAGATTTCTTGAAAGAATTGCAGTTCGAGATAACGCCAAGCAGCTACTATTGCAAGTCCAGATATCATAATTGCAATTGATCATGTGGTGATTACACAAAAATGAAAGAGTCGAGGCACATGCACTTAGCAAAGTCATTGGGAAGAGCACCTGATGGCAGGCTGTCGACCAGATTTCTCGATTACACAGAGGACCTTGCAGGGTCATGCATGAAATCCTGAGTCCGGTTTGAAGGCTTTCTAACGCAGCTGCCTCAAAAAATCAATCGATCAATTTCTCGATTCGAAATAGATTCAGTTTCAGAAAAAAAGTACATTAAAAGTTGCACAACTCTGCAGCGTCTATCCCAGAAGTAGAGAATAACAATTTATACGACGATACGGAAGGAAGAATCGAACGATGATAGCTGAATGATCGGAAAGCATGGAATGGACGGAACGCACCAACCATAGAACCAGGTGGATGGCCAAGACCTAGAAATTTCGCCTTATCAACTTGATAGAACTTGTGTAATGTGATATGTTATCTTACCCTGAACGCAAATTATGTCATGCGGTGCATTTTATGTTTAATTTTACTTTTACTTTACTCATATAGTTTATTATTTTTCCTGTTCATAAGTCTAAGGAATCGCACTGACTACCTTCCTTAACTGCAACTGTAACAAAAAAAAATCTGTTCTGAATCAGCAGGCTTGAAATTGTCATCTGTCAGGTAATACTAATGGCAATGACTCGTCGCTAAGGCAAACATGTCTAGAAGGATACTGCTGTGAAAAAGTTATTCCCATCGTTCGTATTCACAGTTGAAGAGATCAGTGTGTAGCCACTTTTATCATATCGTCTACTCTCTGAATCAACCTGCAACGATTCGGCATACTAGTATTATGAATTACTCGTATTCTGCTACCTACACCATACGAACGTTCAACTACATCTATAACATACGCCCTACTAAGACAATAAATTCAGGCTTGAGTGCGTGCAAAACAACGTTTCTCTGTGTAAGCTAATAAGCAGAAGAGCAAAAATTGAATGGAGCAATTTTTAAAATTAGCGATGACTTTTATCCAGGAAACCGCCCTTATGC